TTTTTTAAATTTATTTCAGAGAGGAAGTGAGAGGGAGAGAGAAATAGAAACATCAGTGGTGAGAGAGAATCATTGGTCAGCTGCCTCTTACACGCCCACACTGGAGATCAAGCCCACAACCTGGGCATGTGCCCTGACCGGGAATCGAACCGTGACCTCCTGGTTCATAGGTCAACACTCAACCACTGAGTCACACCAGCCGGGCGAGGCTGCCATTTTTAATCTTCATCAGTTATAAGATTACCTTCCTTTTTCAAATTTCCTAATATTTGAGTTTTGTACTCTTGAACTTCACAGTTAAGTAGAAAGAGGCAATATTTCATCAAGATTGTTTTCCATACGATGCGGATAAGAAAACCAAGGCCACACTGGTTAGGTGTTTTGCCCAGAATTACACTATTCATGGCAAAGCATCTCCGATCTCCCCCCCGCAGAGCCCTTTCCCCCTGCACATGCTCTGCAGAAGGTACTGACCCAGCCCCTCTGGACCTCGGTAGGTGGAGACAGGCCGGTTGTAGCTCACTGTGTTGGGACCTCATAGTTCCCTCCATGAGCTCCTGCAGCCCTTGGGACAGGGGTGGTGTGGCTGGCTGGTCCTGGCAGGACTGTGCACCGAGCTGGCCATCCACGGACCGATGGTGGAGGACGCATCAGTTGCATCCTCCTCCTGCTCCTCTGAGTTCTCAGGACTGTTTTCCGGGCCTGTTGGCTGGAGTCTACGCGGTCTGTGGCGAGGAACTGACTGGCACGGAACTGCCTCCTTTGCCAGGGGGTTGAATTGGGTTCTTTGGCTCAGTAACAGGGTCTCCAACCACTGGAATTTATCAGCCACAAGTCTCTAGGAAATGCAAATTAAGAGGCTCGAAAGAAATGCAGGAGGGTTTGTAAGAGGAGAAACACCAGGCTCCTGCCTGGAGAAAGGGTCCTTGGGTGTTAGCAGCTGAGCAAGTGTTAGGAGACCAGCCTTTCTCTGCCCAGGCAGGCACTGGGAAAGTGACAACCTGCACAGAAATGATTCTAAAGGAGGAGAAGGGATATGCTGCTGCAAGGTACAGTCTGCAGGGGAGAGCAGGTGGCTGGAAGCGCTCCATTGCCAATTCCCTGCACAAGTACCCCTCTAAACCCAGAGCGCATGCTTTGGATTTCTCAGGCCCCCCACATTGACACCCCACCTAGAGGCCTGGGAGCTAAACTTTCAGATTCTCAATGTGACCTTCTTCTACGTAGACATTGTTTTGGTTAGCCCAGGCAAGTAATTCAGACTAGAGTGAGAATGACTGATAGGAACCATTCTACAATGTAAATGAAATGCTAGGAAACCCAGAGCAATCTCTGGTGAGTGGAATATGAGGTGTAAATCTTTGAGATGTGGGTGCCTTTTCCCCTTAAGACGTCTGTACCCTAACTGTAAACTAATAGTCGGCAACTTGTCATTTCTTTGTTTATGTTGGACTCTTTTGGTCAACTCAAAATATTGTGAGTCTTTCCTGGAACCAAGCAGATGACAGTGTCTCTAGGGGACACCGTTTCTCTCTGGAAGCCCTTTCCCTTCATGGAATCACACGAACTTCCATCCTCTCCCTGCAGGTTCTGATGAGGAGTACATTTACATGAACAAAGTGACGGTCAACAAGCCACAGAATGCCGAGTCCCAAGACAAAGGTACGGGGCTGGGGCTGCCGATGGCCTGGCCAACTCCCGGCAGAGGGGAAGGTGTGAGCCTTGGTCCCGTCCCAGCTCTCCGTCCTCCCAGCCAGCACCACAGACAGGCCTGGGGGAGATATTTTTGAGAGTCGCATTTTGGTGGATGGTATTTTGGGTTGATGTATTTTGGGAAGTTTCATCGGGCCACCTCCTTGCCTCTTAAAGGTCTCGCGTCCCCCCTCGTGGTTAAGGAATCTGTTCCTAAAACCTCTCAGCTTTTCCCAGCATTGTCCCAGGAATAGGAAGTTATAATTCAGATGCTTTCAGAAGGCAGCTGTGGAGGGTGCTGATCCCACGGTTCCGGCTTTCTGTCCTTTGATAGAAGTCTGGATGTTATGTGTGTGTCGGGGTGGGGGCAGGGCAGGGGGGAGGAAATGGTGATGTCAGCAACTGCCTTAATAGTAAAGGCTTTTTCATAGGTGTTCTCTTGAGCAGGATGTTTTATCTTCTGGGCTGTCTTAGTCTCTGCTCAGGTCTGCTCCCTACTTTTCTTTGAAAACCTCAGGAGTAGAGCTGGCAGACCCCAGGGAGATCCGGAGGTTTGCAGGCTGCCTAGTTGTAGACGAGGGAGGGTTAGAAGCCCATCTCCCAACTCCTGTTACCCAAAGGCAGAGGCTTAGAGAGAGGCAGAAACACAGCACCCCAAAGCCCCCCGTCCTATTCAGATCTTAGCTCCCAAACATCAGCCACCAAAAAGCCTCGACATCAGACCTGCCTACACCTGTCTGTCCCAGGGCTGTCTGGGCCGCCGACCGAAATGGTCAGACACCATTGGGTGTTCATGAGCCTTGGGTGCCTTTCCCTTAAAAGCACATGGCGGCGGAGTGGGGGGGTGGTGGTGGTGGTCAAGTTCTTCATGTGGCTTTTCCACCTCCTGCCCCATGGCCAGGCCCAGGCTCAGCAGCACCCACCAGCATGGAAGCAGCCACTGCGCCCGGGGCCGCTGGCCTTCCCGCTAAACTGTGGGAAGGAAAGAGCTCTAATCACAGGGTCGGAGCCCAGCGTGGCTTAATATAGCGACCACAGGGCAGCTCCCCTGGGCGCTGGGGCTCTGCGGCTAGGCCATTTTTGACACAGGGCAGGTGGAGGCGAGGGTGCGGAGCCTGCCAGACCCCAAACCAGCTCCTCCTGAGGAATCTGTGGCGGGGGCACCGCTGCGCCCTATTCTTGGAGGGGAAACAACCTTGGCTGCAGCCCCGGCTGCCTGGGTAATGAACACCTGCTCAAATGGCACTCAGGGCGGGTGCACGTGAGCAGGCATTCCTGGGTAATGAGGGCCTGCTGCGAGGCTGGAGGCTGGCACCCCTCACCGGAGCTTCTGCTTGCTGCCCACAGCGCCGGAGGAGCGGAGCCCACTGGCCAACGGGGAGCCCCGCCAGCACGCCACGGCCCCTCAGAAGAGTCTCCCGGACCTCCCGCCCCCCAAGACCGTAAGTGTGGGCCCAAGACCCCTGATTTCCCTGCCTTGGGCCCCGTGAACTTGCAGTTGTTTTCACAGGTATCCATCCGTCCAGTGTCTGGCCTTTTCTGCGTACCTACTGTGTGTCGGGCACTGGGAGAGACAGGGCCAAAGTAAGCCTGTCCGCAGGTGACGTCATTTGCTCAGGACCACAGTACTGGGATGCTAAGGGTAGTGGAAGGGGGAAATGAGGGAAAGCCCCTCTAGCAAGCGCCACAGTGTGTCTGAGGCTCCAACAGGCGCTTTACCCAGCACCATGTGGGGCCATGTCTCGCTGTGGCTACCAACTCAGGCCACCATGACCTTTCAGAATTGTACGTCGCATCACACTGCGCTTCCTGCTTGGAATCAGCCAGTAGCTCTCACTGAACTTAGGAAAAAACATCCACGTTTCCTAGCACAGCCCCAGGGCCTGCCCAGTGGGGCCCAGCTGCATCCCCGGCCTCTGCGCATGCGCCCTGCATGGGGACTGTGCCACGTGGTCGGTCCTGCCTCGGGGACGTTGCACCTCTTGGGCCTGGCTCTTCGATGGCTGCTGCCTCCTCATCTCTTAGACATTCTCAGACCGACTTTCCCTGGCCTGCCGACGTCGGGCATCCCACCTCCGTCCTGCCCCAGTTACTGTCCGTCCCACTGTCCTGTTACCACCTCCTCGGCACTGCCATCTTTGAAATGTGCCTCTCAGGCCAGATACAAGCTCCCTGGGACAGGGACTGTGTCTTGTTTAGTGTTTAATGTCCCATGATTGCATACAGTGAGCCGCACACACATGGATGGATGGATGGATGGATGGATGGATGGATAGATGGATGGATGAATGGATGGATGATGGATGATGGATGGATTTATGGAATAATAGGCCTGGGTTCAGGTCCCAGCTTGGCCAGGTACTAGTGCTCTGACCTTGAGCAAGTTATAAGGTCTCTGGCTCTTGTCTCCTGGTGTGTAAATGAACGGAATGTGGACACCCTCTCCATGAGGTTGTCTTACTCAGTGGGCTAAGGTTGTGCGTGGCATCCTGCGTCAGTATCTGGTGAGGTAAGAAGTAGTGTCGATACTTTACGGCCGAGGAGCGTGGAGTCAGCAGGTTTATATGGCCTGGGTGTCACACAGCCTCCAAGTGGCAGAGCCAGAACTTGAAAGAACCGAGTTCTTTCCTGGACAGGGTCTGGCTGGGGAGGCTTCTCCGAGAGGGATGAGGTGAGAAGGATGTCCGTGGAGCAGGGGTTCCGGGAGATCAGCACCAGCAGGAAGCTGTGCGGCTCCATGGACATGGAGCTCCCTCCAGGCCACCCATCACTGAGATCTGAGGTCACTGCTGAGGGGATCTCGACCCCAGGCCCCTGCATTCATGCCTTATGAGGTGGCAGGCTTCTGCAGGCTCCTCGCCTGTGGCCACACTGGTGGGGCTGGAGGGCCTGGCACCCTCTCCCACCGCCCGAGGCTCCTTGAGTTGGGTGACAGCTGGCAGAGGCTCTGCATCTCAGAATCTGAGTCCCTAGGTGTCCCCGTTGCACTGGCGACTCTGGTGGCCGCCACACCCTCGGGCACACAGCAGGGTCCTCCTCGCCTCCCGCCTGCCTATCTTTGCCAGCTCTTCCTCTGGACAAACAGAGGCTCAGGGAGTTAAAACAACTGGGCATGATCATTCCACCAGGAGGTAGCAGGGCCAGGAATCAAACGCAGGGCCTTGGGAGGCTCAGGGAGTTAAAGCAACTGGGCACAATCGCTTCACTGGGAGGTAGCAGGGCCAGGAATCAAACGCAGGGCCTTGGTGTCAGCCACTCTGCGGCCTCATTAAGCCGGTCATTTTAGCGGAGCAAAGGCACTAGGTCTGTTCCATCGGAAAGTTCCCCTTCGCTTCCTGCCCAGTACGGGGGAGACGGCACGTCCCCTCTGCTGCCATCCAGCTGCTGCTGGCCTAGCCCTTCAGGTGATGCTGTGGTTTCTGGTGCGTCCTACGTCCTGCTTGCTGGTGGTGGGGGAGGACGGCCGGCTGCTCCGAGCCAGGGCAGGGATGTTCTGTCCGGAATTCAGCACCTGATTCTGCCTCCGCAGGCCCCACCTGGGGCGGCTGCTTGTGGGTCACCTGGGGGGGCGGGGGGTCACCAGGCGGAGTCCCACAGGCAGGAGTGCTGGGTGGGGCGGACCTGCTCTGGGTCGCTGTGCTTTATAAACGTGGTGATGGGCAGAGGGGCTGGGACCCCGGCTGCAGTTATAAACCAGTCGGACCCTGCGAGTCCCAGCGGCCCAGAGGCTCTGGCACCGGCTTTTGCTCTTCCACCCGTCTCCTGGGGTGTGGGTCCCGAGGCCCTGGGCTCGGATGTGAGATGCAGAGCCCGAGAGCCAGGCAGGGCCACAGGGGCTGGGGGAGGCTCTGTCAGTGCTGGAGAGAAACGTGGCTTCGGAGGTGGGGAAGTATCACCACCCAAGAATAACACAGCCGGGGTGGCCCTCGGACGGTGGGAATGGTTCCAGTGGACACGCTCCAGGCCCCGGGGAGACTTCCAGCGGACAGCTGGCCTTACGGTCCTCCCTCCTCGTGGAATTTCTCTGCTGAGAAGGACAAGGGTGCTGACTGCAGCTCCCTTTCCTAGGTCTCCCCAGTTCTGTCCTGGGCACCCCCCCACCCCTGGGAGCTTCTGGATGTGCAGTGAGAAAGGGAGGGGCTGGCGTAGTCGGGGTTCTTACCCCTCCTTGCACACACGCGCACGCACACGCCTGCTCTCCCTCAGGCTGCCTCTCTGGTCAAGTCTGGCTCAAGGAGCCATAACTCTTAGTCCAAGGCCCCCAGAGGAATGGCGTCAGGGCAGAGTGGGGAGCAGCTGTGGCTCTGAGGGAAGAGGCGGAGAAGGAGAAGGAGGGGGAGGAAGAGGGGGGTGGAGGAGGAGGGGAGGAGGAGGAGGGAGGTAGGAGGGAGAAGGAGGGGGAGGAAGAGGGGAGTGGAGGAGGAGGAGGAGTGGGGAGGACCTGAGCAGCAGCAGCAGCAGTTTGGGAGCATGAGCTTGGAGTGACCCTGTGACCTCTCTTCTTCAGACAGAGCAAGCCTCGCCCTTCCCACCCTGACCCCAGAGCTTTCGGTGCCGTGGTGGCTTGCCGGCCCCAGGCTTGGAGTGGCTGTTTTAGAAGCTGGAGTCTGCCTGGGCTTTGGGGTCCTCCGTGCCTGTGGCCGGGCCAGGAGGATGGCCTCTCTCCCAGGCTCAGGATGTCCTGATTCTTTCTCTATTGGCTGGGTCCCCTTCCATTCCCCCCCAGAGTCAGTGCACAGCAGGCCCGACCAGCAATGGAAGGGTCAGCCAGGGGTCTAGAGGAACCTCGTGGGTGTGGCCAGTGACTCAGGCCGCGGTGGCACTTCAGGCCACTGGCTGCACCGCCAGGGGCTGTGGTCACTGGGGGAGAAACAGATGTGCGCTGACACTGTTGGTGCCCTGGCCAGCACCGCCACCT